TACGCTCCTACATACCTATGCATTTATCTATTATGTGTATATAATTATGAAATAATCCAACCTTCATGTTCAAGTATAGATTGTTATTCACATATTAAACACATAAGGAATCATCAAGGAAGACATACAATCACACAATGGATCAATAAAACGAGAAGTCAAGAAAACATACCGTACTAGTGGGCACGAGGTGGGCGGTCGACCGCCTGTCAAGGTCCCACTGGAACGTGACAGTGGGCACGTGGTGGGAGGTCGACCTCCTGCCAAGGTTCCACTGGAACGTGACTGTGAAGAAGGAATCACTTTGGGAAAAGTCCCAAGAATGCACAAATTTAAGTCCAAAGAATCCCACACTTATATGAACAACAAAAGGGACTTGAATTCATGGTAAACATCAAGGAATAACATTATTATGATATGAACAAGGAATACGAAAGACTTAAGCGAAAGTTCAAGACATCATAAGGATCACACATCACATTACTCCCCTCCTAAAGAATAAAGTTACGTTCCCACAACTTTCAGGCAAACTCATGTAAGTACTTATCAAGCTATAAGTAAGTTAACTATCAAAATAATCGAACAATCATAATTAAGAAAAGTGAGCAATTATCGATCAAATAAGGTCGTCAATTGCAAGTTTCAAAATATTCCATCAAATAACAAATATCCAAATGATGCATATTGATCAAATAATTAAGTAGTAATATGAAAGTTCTTAGCCGATATATGAATGAATTAATTAGGAAAATAACCAAACTTTCATGCTTAAGCAAATAACCAAGTCCGGTATGTAAGAAACAGAATCAATATATATGTATATTACTGCACGAGATTGCATATGAGTATGAGTATATAATTGCACGAGATTGCATATTAGTATGTTTATATTATTGCACGAGATTGCATAAGAGTATGATTATAGTATTGCACGAGATTGCATATGAGTATGTATATAGTATTGCATGAGATTGCATAAGAAGTATGATTATAGCATTACACGAGATTGCATATGAGTACGATTATTGAATTGCACAAGATTGCCTATTTGAATTATGTATAGTATTGCACGAGATCGCATATGAGTATGACGTATAGTATTGCACGAGATTGCATATGAGTTTGATGTATAGTATTGCACGAGATTGCATATGAGTATGATGTATGGTATTGCACGAGATTGCATATGAGTATGACCTATTGTATTGCACGAGATTGCATATGAGAATGATTATAGTATTTCATGAGATTGCATATGAATATGTTTATAGCTTTGCACAAGATTGCATATGAGAGTGATGTATAGTATTACACGAGATTGCATGTGAGTAGAGTATCGTATGAGATTTTATAATGGGAAGGTTGACTTAAGATTTTTCATCGAGCATGATTATTTTGTTGTACAAGAAGCTCTATTTATCAAGTTATGTGATGACAATGTGAAAGCATGAGAACACCTGTTATATGGTCTATTAGCATGATCATATCTGTAAGCATGAATTGCTTGTTAAGTTATTTGAGAAGTTTATATGTTGATGAATCTATGTGAACAGTCTTATACATATATAAGCATGCCAGCTGATATTATAGGGTGCAAGCATCTAGAAAGAATGTGATAAATCTAAAGATGATTTGAGATGAGCTTATTGTTATAAAGAAATCAAATGTTTTCTAAGTAAATGCTAGAATGCATTACAGGGTTGAGTGTGGTTATACTTAGCTTTGTGCTAACGAGTGTTTTCCTATTTGTCTATGTGTTGCTTGCAAAACCCCTTTCAGGTGGGCCCAGCAGTGTGAAGAAGTCGAGTTAGATTAGTCTCGTAGTTAGAGATATCTAAACTCTAGTTTTATTGATGATTATGTTATAGATTTTAGACTTATCGACTTTATGGTTTTGAGGATGTTGTAGACTATTGGGGTGACGTTATTTCCCCCTTATGTTTTTAGTTTTTATGATAGATGCCAGACTTTTACTTTATTTCTAGTTTTATCCCTTTAGCCTGTGCAATCACCACGGAGTGGTGGTTGTGGCGGTGACACTCCCACTGGTTATCTTATTAGTTTTAATTCTGCTGCTTAGTTTATTTAATTGGTTGTTTAGAGTTGTAATTAAGAGTTAGAAAAGTGGGATGTTATAATAATAGTATACAAAATAATACATTTTCTCTAAATTACTCATTTCCTCCAAAAATAAATACAATTTCATATCTTCCAATATAAATTATATTTTATATCGCCCAAAAATAAATGTAGTTTCATACTCACAAAATTCCCATAATCTCCTCAATATATAACCATACACATTCATACTTTGTAAATCATAGGATAACGCCAAAAATATACACATTTGCTATTTATCACACATTTAAACGCAAACACATTTTCAAAACAATATTAAGGACACAAATCAGATAAATAGCACATTTGATAGGGCAAAGTAATTTTGACAAATATAAAAACTTACCTCAAGCTAAGCTCCAAAAGTCAACACCCGATCTAAACTCAACTCCTAAACTAGCCATTTCAACAGAGAACCTGTGAATCATTCTGCTCTTTGATCATTCCCATTACCAATACTATTATTATTATTATTACTAGTAGTTGCCCCGTGCGATGCACGACCATGATATTATGGTGCGATATATAAAAGATTGTTATATTGAAGATATAGGACCAATAAGATTTTAAATGTAATAAATAGACAAAATATAATTTATTGGCATTCCATAAATAAAACAATTACACATTATTATAGATTTCTTTGTAAACTACATTTTGAGTATTGTTTAAAAGACCTCTATTCCCCACAAATTAAGACTTTAAGACCATCAGGATTACACACCCTAGAAACTGCTACATATAATTGGCCAACATGCTACACATAATTGGCCATGATCCCTCTAACTTATGGTAATCTAACCTTATTGCTCTTTTGGTGTGCAGTGGAGTGAGTGGATTGATTCCCTCAACAGATACATAGGAGAAGGCATATTTTTGGTTCAGAGTATTACTTATTCTCATAGTCTCAAGTTGTACTTCTGCAAGTCATTCGACCTCTTTATATAGAGGTAGAATTGAATCAGAATCAGGACTGTTATAGAAAAACGAAGGGGCAAACTTTGGAACAATGATAAAAAATAACTATGTTATTTAAACTTAACATCCTTTCAGAAAGGATATCTTCAATTTGTAATTTAAAAAAGCAACGATTCGTTTTCCCGTGCAATGCATGGTCATATTATTAGGGCTCAAGATATAACATTTTGATAAATTGAAGAAATAGTACCGGTAAAGTTAAAGATATAGTAAATTGATAAAATATAATTGATCCACCTTCCCTAAATAAAAATAATTACACATTATTAAAAATTTATTTTTAAATTACATTTTGAGTAGTGTTTAGAAGAAGTCCAGATTCACCACAAATTAAGACTTGACCATCAACATTACTAACCCTAAAAACTGCTACATACAATTGACCATGGTTAAAAACAGGCTTTTAAGTAACAAACCAACATGATAGCATAACTTGAAACTACTTTGAAATTTAAACGGTAGTCTTGGGTCTAACGGAGTCAACCACGGTTCATCTTTCTTTGTGGCAAGCTCAATGTTGTTGCGCACGAATCTTATGTTTGAGGGAAGTGTTAGGAGTCTATTATTATTAGTAGTTGTGTTATGGTAATCAATCCTCATCTATATATATACTTTTCCATTAATATATATATTATTTGGTGTATTCAAACCTTTTCCACTGCACCAGTGGTAATGTATCTGCTCACTTCAGCTCCATAGCGCATGTGGCTGATTACTTTTCTCACAGCTATTTCTCTAATTTTTTTGAATGGCCAACGCCTCATCATGGGCTCAGTGCAGTATTGAAGGGTGTTCCACAGCAGATCTTGTATCAATGTATGATGGCAGAAGATGTCCTCCTGCATGCATTTAGTTGATGTATGTTACGTTGTTTAATTTGTATGGAAGCTAGCTAAGCTAGTAATTAAATTATATATATATATATATATATATATATAGAGAGAGAGAGAGGGGAAGGTTCAAGTGCGGCGGTGTCTTATGGTGCGGCGTCACCAATAGTTCAACAAATATACCTCATCAATGTTAGAAAAATACACCACAACAACACAAACAAATTAGGTACGCATCACCAAAAACACACCATTAGGTGTTAGTAAAAACATCTACAGTGTTCGAAAATACACCATTGGGGTGTTGAGTTATATGGTATATTTTTTTGGGTCTGTTGTATATTTTTTGGTGTTTTTTTTACATTTCATTGTGGTGTGTTTCCCTTACACTGTTGGTGTATGTTGTTAACACTGTTGGCGTATTCTAAAATTTCGCCGCACCGCCGCACGGGAAGACCCCGCCGCATTTGAACTTTCTTCTCTCTCTCTCTCTCTCTCTCTCTCTCTATATATATATATATATATATATATATATATATATATATATATATATATATATATAGTGAGTCCACCCCTTTCCAATGAGTTCATGTAGATAGATCTGATCTCACTAGTACAAAAAATACTTTCCAAGTCACCCATAAAACACTTTCCGAGTCACCTGTGCAGGTGACTCGAATTCTAGAGCCACTGAAAGTGGTTAGCTTTCCGAGGCACCCGTATAGGGTGTCACGGAAAGCTGTCAATTGATTTTTTATTTTTTTTTTATATAGACTTTCCGAGGCACCTGCTACGTAGCAGGTGCCTCAGAAAGTCATTTATTTATTTTATTATTATACATATCCACGACACCCACACACAGGTGGGTGTCGCGGAAAACCTTTTTTATTTTTTTTTAAATTAGTCTATCTGCGGCACCCTCTTCACAGAGGGTGTCGCAGATACCTCTTTATTTTTTTTTTATATATATATATATATATATATATATATATATATATATATATATATATATAGAAAGAGAGAGAAGAGAGGCAACTAATTTTTTTTAAAACAATAAATAAACTCCCACTTTCATAGCACAAATACATAGAAATTATTCCTAGCCAATGTATCCTAGACTAATAAATTTATTAATAAAAAAAAGTGACAATGAAGAGAGATACTGAATACAACTGGAGGAATGTAAGCAGCACTAAGCTAAAATCTCTAAGTAACAGCATTGAGATGACCAGCCCAACAAGATCCTGCAATTCAATAATAATAATAATAATAATAATAATAATAATAATAATAATAATAATAATAATAATAATAAAATTGCACACAATGCAATAATAAGAATGAGTGCATGCAGAAGAAACAAAGTGTAAGAGAAATACCTGGTGGCCAACTGGCTTAGTGTTATGAATCAGAAAACAGAGGACAAAAAATACATCTCTTTTCTCTTGAGCATCTTTAAGCTGTTTATATCCAAAATACCACCATAAATTTTCCGTTTTAAAGAGCCTACACCACATTGATTTGAGAGATTATCGTCTTCCTTCAAATGGTCTGATGGATTCTCACCATATATACCGCTAATACTGCATTAAGGAAATAATCGCACAAAAAAGTGAGGGGCAATGAAGATTACAAAAAGAATAATACTGAACACACCAAAAGGATCACTATTCCTTTCCCACCCACAAAATAAATAAATGGTGGATGAGTATAAAACAGTGTACATAGTTATAGGAACAAGTATGAAACACTGCTTACTGTAAGAACAGAGAATAGAATGATTTCAAATTCATTTTTCTGATAGATATACGTACACACGGATATATGAGAGAATGTGGAGAAATATACCATAATAGCCTGTATTGTATATAACTGCCAGAAGTAGCTTGAGACCAAACAAGCTCAACATGTACACCATACACTATTAAAGCTGGATTGGCAAAACCCTCGAGCCATCAGGAGTTGCATTTACCTAATCATTCAAGACCACAAGTGACTTAATCAATTTCTTCCCTCAGTTTCGCATTCTATGCAAGCTGTTTCAATAGTCTCAAAACTCATAAAGTAAACTAACCTTTTTGGACAGAAACATAAACCATAGGGTTGAATTCTTTCAAAGAATCACAACAGAGCTCGGCAACAGATTTCCCACCGAAAACATTTTCATCTGGGGGAATGAGGAAATTAGCAGAAAGTAATTCCTCGGTCACCATGCGATCGTCATTCAACGTCAAACTACCAACTCCAGCTAAAACAATATTTTTGCAGAACTGCAAATATAGATAAAGGAAATACTCTGCAGTTTCTTATTCAAGCAAATATAACTCCTAATGAGAGTCTAAAATAAATCCTTTAAGAGTTCCAACGGCAACCCAACAGATGTTCCATACAGCATATTCCAATTAGGAAAACGGTCCATGTAACCACAATGTACTAGAGTCAAGAGTATATCACCATAAAATTATTAGCAAGTTTTTTGAAGTACCTCTATAGCAGTCCCTTTGAGTCCACTGACAAACACATGAGCTTTACTGAGGCTGTTGCAACAACAAAAAAAAAAATGTTAAATAAAGTGAAGTTTGTCATTGAAAATGTAAATACCAAATAAACAAGAACCATTGGCATGTGGATAATTTGAAATTTGTTGATCAGAAATGCAGGTTTTTAAGAAGAGCCAGGAAGAGCATAAAATGGTAATTTATATTAGAAGTAAAAATTTTCCCAAGAGGCAAGTGTACTCCATGCCAAGAAGGACCAATGCACAAAGTCATTTCAACCTCTTTTGGTTTAAAAAACTGCTTAAGGTTCCACTGAAAATATTACTCAGGGCAACCAAAATGAAGGAAAACATACTACTAATAGATTTTAATTAAAATGTACAAGAGACAAGAAAGTTTTGCCGGTAAGAACCAAAAAGAAACTTGAAAAAATATATATATATATGTGAAATTCATCTGGTCTGTATATATCTGCCTCAAAGAGTTTCAAATTCGTTTCTGCACCAGGAAGTTCTTTGAGAAGCCCTAACTTGGTGGAATCACCTAAATAGAACATTTAATTTGACAGTGGCACAACATAAATAGTGTCACCAGATCTGGAGCTCGATGCCACCGGATCTGGAGAAGCTAGGCCTGAGAGATGGATCGAAAACCTTTTTAAAACAAGAGAGAAAATGAAGAGAGCAAACCTCGCCGGAGGAAGACCGCCGTCGCCCTCCCTCGCCCTCCGCCTCACCGCCAACCTCAAATCTGAAGAGAAAAATGCTGACACAGTGATATGTTCAAAACCTCAAACCCAATAAAGAAAGCAAAATTGATATTCAAAGTGTTGAAAACTGCATTCACGATCTAGAAAATTACAAATTTTAAATGACCTACCTTGAATTTGGTGGCGATTGGTGGCGAGGCGGCGAGGAGGCGATTGGTGATGGCGATCGTTGTTGCTGTGGCTGCTGGCGGCGAGGGGCGGCGAGGAGAGGCGAGGCGGTTGGCGGCTACCGGAGGGCGTGGGCTATCCGGCACAACTTTTCTTCTTCATCTTCATAGTATCCACACTCCGTCACAACCCCTCAGATCCGTCTCTCTCTGTCTCCAGAAGCATCATCGCTTACTTAGTAATGGCGAAGTCTAGAGAAAGAAAGAAGTGCGATTTGGGGGTTTTTTAATTTTATATTATTTAAATAATAAAATGGTATCCGCGGCACCTTCTGTTGAGGGTGCCGCGGATTCCATTATTATTATTTTAATAATATAATATCCGCGACACCTTCTTTAGTAGGTGCCGCGGATACTGTTATTAATATTTTAATAATATAATATTAGTGGCACCTTTTTTCAATTGGTGTCGCGGATTTCTCTATTATTATTTTAATAATATAATTTTTGAGGCACCTGTTCCTAGTTGGAGTCGCGGAAAGTTGTACCATTTTCTTTCCACAACACCTTCACTATAAAGGTGACATGTAAAGTGGTGCGTCTATTCTCAATTTTGTACTAGTGTCTATTAATAAATAGAGATCAATGGTCAGATCTAGTCCATTATCAACTATACAACTGCAAATGCACAATTAATAATGGTCCAGATCTAGTTGGCTGTGGCCTGGTAGCTAGAGAGACCAAATTTACAATTTAATAAGAAAAATTGAGTGAACACATACCGAAGTAGGAAATACTCGAACAACATAACCAAAAATGTGATTAAATCTTCTAAGAAATTGTTTATAATGTTTTGCTATACAACATATTAATTACTCTATTTGTTAAATACAATACTTCACGTAACTTGATTAAGTATATTATTATTATTATTATTATTATTATTATTATTATTATTATTATTGGGTGAAGATTATTATTATTATTATTATTATTATTATTATTATTATTATTATTATTATTATTATTATTATTATTATTATTATTATTATTATTATTATTATTATTATTATTATTATTTATTAAAAAAATTATATATATAGCATTCCGTTCAGTTCGGTTCGGTTTTTGTCAAACCGTTCGGTTTCGGTTCGGTTCGGTACTAAACCATTCGGGTTACAAAATCCCGAACCATTCGGTTTTCTATTACTAGTTCGGATCGGTTCGGATCGGTTTATCCGAACCGAAGTGCCCACCCCTGATGATGATGATGATGATGATGGTGATGGTGATGGTGATGGTGATGGTTATGATGATGATGATGATAATAGCATTTCCACTTTCGAAAGCCGTAGAACATCTCTGCTTCTCGTTCTTCATTTCTCATCTCTGATTTAATTTATCTCTCTTCGATATGTGTTTCTCGTTCTTCATTTCTCCCAAATCTCTCATCGATTTCTCTCTCTCGTTCTACATCTGTGGTTTTCCTCTCATCGATCGGTCGTCTATCAGTCATTGATCTTTCTATTACTCTGCGTCTTATTCAATCTTAGTATGGAAACCCTACTAAGCATCAAAACGGAAGGATCGAAGGCTAACACCCAGATATGTATTCCTTTATCTTTTCTTTTAATTTTTGTGTCTAATTTTTACAATTAATCTACATAATTTTGGTTTAGATGTAGTATTATCTGACCTAATTTCTGGAAATGCTTAGCTTACAACTTACGATTTTGATTAGGGTTTTTAGTCCCAGATGTTTTGGTTTTGATTGTGAAATGTTTCGATTTTGACTCATTTGCTATGCAAATCTTTCGAGTATTTTTTCCCCTAAATTTATGTCTATAAATCTGCCCTAATTTGTGAAATCTAAAACTTAAATTTACCAATTTTCATATTTATTTTTACCCAGGTTTGTCTCCACTGCAAATATACATTTTCTCAGACTATTAGATAAATTATTATTAAATAATAATTTATATTTATTAAATAAACTATTAATATACATAAAATGTATAATTACACCATTAAACAAAAAAAAAATTGGCAAATTATTTTCTTGGAATTACTTATTGAAGTTTAAAAGAAAAAATTAAATTTCTTTTCATTGTTTTGGAATGGCTTTTTAAAAAAAAAAAAAAAAATTAATGATAGTGTATGATTTTGTATCATGTTTCTAAAAAGCATGTTTTTTTATATAATGTATAGAAGCTCTGATAGCAAATTAACTTCTTTTTTTAGCTGTTAGTGACTGTAAACCACGATTTTGACACTTAACTATTAAAAGTCTATTTTTGTGCAGTTTTTTTTTTATCTTAATACTTAAATTATCTTTTATATTAACTTGTTCGTCCATGATATTATGAGTGTGTACTTTTCTGTGTGTGTATTCTATTGATGTTACTACTTAATCAATAAGTTAGTGGCTATCAAACTGCTATGGTATATATATGGTATCCTAAGTATGGATTTAGCAATCTGGAGAATATAATTTCTAAACAGTTTTTTGAACCATGCCCACTTGCCTTACATAGTCTAGATCTAGATGACCTTCTGGTACAACCTTTTTGTAAATATTTGGTGCTAGGCAGTTCCAGTATTATCATATCCCTGGCCTAATTGTACTCTGGAATTGCTGACTGATGTTGTTCGCTGCCTCATGTTTCCATCCTGAGTCCTAATGCGTGTTTAGTATCCCTTCTGCAAAAAGTTAAATAGCAAGAAAAATAGAAACTTCAAAGTAGGCATTTAGTAAAGCATTTAACACATCAAACATAACTAATTAATCATCCAAAAAATGGTGATATAAGTCCAATCCAATGTGAGAGCATCATAATGTTGATGTCCTTAGTACACTAACAATTCTAAAAAAAGGTTGATTTCCTTCACCATCTTAAGTTAGTTGGTTGAAGAAAATGGGTCCATAAGGCATCTTTTCACAATATTTGAGTCTTCAGTGTCAGTATCATTTCTTCTTTTTGGTCTGTTCTGCATTTATTGGGTTGTTTACCTCACCACCTTTTGAAGCTTCCCGGAGATTTAAAAATAGAAAGTTACATCAATATCAGTTTTTTTAAGAAACAAAAAAATATATATTTTGTGTATTTAAAATAATTACCTGATCTGATAAGCCATCATCTTTTTCTTGGTTGTCTTTCAATTTTGGGTTGTTTACCTCATCACCCTTTGAAGCTTCCTGGAAATTTAAAAATAGAAACTTTTATCAAAAATATTTTTTTAAGATGAGTATATGTTTCATGTTTTTAAAAGTAGTGAGAAAACTAAAATATTAGGCAGTGAAAGATTGGTTTGAAGCTTAAATAGTGAACAGTGTGCAAAAAAATTGAAGCAATATTGACAAAAGTTTGTTTTTAACATTGTACATTTGTTTTTCTTCCAAACTTATTTCATATAAAATTTTAGATAAAAATGTATAAGAAATAATACAATTGAAATATGCACAGGAAATTTAACACATGTAGAGGTAGAATTATAGTATTACCATGTCTGATTCATGAATGAAATAAATTGAAGAATTTATAAACAACATCAATATGGTAGGATTATAGTATTACCATG